TACTCTAGGTTTTGCTTTTAGAGCAGCTTGCTCCTCGTCATCAGGGTCGACATAAAGGTATTTACTCCTCTCTCTGACACGGACTTTTTCTGTTTCGGTCACTGCTGAAGATAATGAGGTGATGATAAACAACTGATATAAAAGGTAAACTGTACAAAACACCAAAGCAACAATAAAAACGCGTTTCCTACGAAACACTTTAGATATCAGTGTATTTTTAATCATTTTAATGTATATCCACCTGCGAACACAAACATCGTTGAAAAGAGTGAGCAATTAATTAAAACTACGTTAATAATTGATAATCGTTAAATATGAGTGTAATAATAACATTGTTATTCACTGAAAATACATGAATCCGTTTCCAAGGAAATGGCATTAAGTTGTTTACTCTTTAACGCGCTAAACACAAATTTTATGATATTTATAACAAAAATAACATCCAACAATCAAAAAGTCTTTGATTAAACAATGAATTGTGTGCTTGTGTCCTTTAATAAATCTAAAATGCGCGCCAATAATAAACTATTCAATTCAATCTTTTATATGTCATTTTTAAAAATTATTTTATATAAATATTAATAAATTCAGTCATTACATAATAATGAACACTCAAACTTTTGACTTTTCCCAGAGAAAAATCAGTATAAAATTTGATTTTCGTAATACAATGTATAGTTACAATAAATTAAGAAAGTTAATGATTTTACATTTTGATAGGAAAATAGGAAATATTAAGATTACCAAGTGAAAATTTCCATTTGTATTATTTTATGCTAAATGAGATGGATTCAATTTTGAATGACCCTCTTTTGGTTACCTTAAAGGTTTTGCATACATTGTTTATCCTTGAATCCCAGTCAGAATAGCTGAGGTTTTCCACATTCTATTAACTGTTTGATTATCTCGACAAAGCTTAGGTAGTGTGAAAAATTTACCAGTTTCTTGTGATAATTTAGGCTCAGTGGCAACATATAACATTGTCTCTGGTCCTTGATCTAAAGTAATGGAAATACAAGTCATTGCAGTGATTTGGACCATAACTTCATAAATTTCATGCCCTTTTATCAGCTGGGCTCACCAAGCCAGCATTATTGATCAATATATACAGTCGAGAATGAGTTGCCATAAAAACAGTAGCAAAGGATCTAATGGACGAGAATGATGCTAAATCCAGATGTAAAAAGTGAACATCTTCATTTCCAGTTTCTTGGCGGATACTTTGAACGACTTCTTGGCTCATTGATTCATCTCGAGCAGCTATAATTACTTTTGCACCACGCCGAACCAATTTTTTCGCAGCTTCTTTGCCGATTCCTCTGTTGGCACCTGTAACAATGGCCACTTTATGATAATGATGATGAAAATTTTCTTTGATGATTGGCAGTTTTTAGTTTATCGTTGGCTGAGATGACAAGTGATCGTCATTCGAGGAAGATATTGAAGGAAAATGAGAATTTTGATTATCGAGATCAGGATTGTCAAGTTCTGCTTTTTGCTCTTGCTTTTTATGAACTTTGATATGCTATTGAAAAAAATAAGAAAATGAAATGAGTAAATAGTAAATATAAATGGATTATAATTAGCAATTAACTAACTTACCTTATAACAAGCCGACATTTCTGAAAATTTTTTATGACATATATCACAACTGTACGGCTTAAGACCATAGTGACGATTTGAGTGTTCGTTGAGAGATTGTTGTCGAGTAAATGTTTTTCCGCATAGAGCACAAATGAATGGTCGTTCACCAGTATGGATACGAAAGTGTCTTTCCAAATCTCCTTTGGTTAAAAATTTGGCCGAACAATTACTGCAATCCCATTTCTTGACCCCTTCATGTCGTAAAACATGTAATCGTAATTGAGATCTCTGTCGAAATGCTTTACCACACATTTCACATAAATATTTGCGCTCATCTAAATGAAGAGCCATATGAGTTTGAAGTACTCCAGTCTGTGAAAAAGCTTTATTACAAACGGTACATTTATAAGGCCGTTCTCCTGTGTGGCGACGCATGTGAACCTAAAAAGATTTAAAGTGAAGAGAGAAATTAATCAGGATTAAATTTCTATTTTCATTTTCTCCTTAATTTAATTTAAAACCTACTTTAAGACTTTTCTTTTCCGTAAATTTTGAGTTGCAGATCTCACATTTCCATGAACGTTCACCACTGTGAGCTTTGATATGTCGTCTAAGGTTTCCTTTGGTCGAAAATATGGCAGGACATTTGTCACATGCAAATGGCTTTTCACCGGTATGTCGACGTTGATGAACTAACAAGTTACCCTTAGTGGAGAATTTGGCTCCACACTCATCACACCCATACGATTTAGTGAGAGCCCATTTATGACCTAAATGAGAAGAATAAATGTTCGAGACTTTAAAATAAACATTGCTTATGAATCTTTGTATATATTAATTACCATCATTGTCTTTGATTGTATCTTGATTGGACGGAATCATGTTTGGTTCGACTGATTTGGCTACCGAAGTTTCTAACAATGACTGAGCAGGATCCGTTTGGTTAACAATCAAAGTTTCCAGAGAATTGGTATCCGTTTCAATATCAAGTGGTACATGAGAAAATCTGTCGATATTTAAGCTGCTTTCTCCACTTTCACTAATAAAACTTTTCTCACTTTCTACTCCAAGATTGTCGGCTAGACTAGAGTTGCTATCATGCATAGATGTTTCTAGTGTTTGATTTGCATGTTGTTTTGGAACTGGTTGAATCACATTAGTACGATTTGTTTGCTCCAAGTTGAAAAGAACATTAGTTCCTGCACTGATGTCAGTTAAATCACTGATAGAACCATCAACATCGTCAGGAGAAAAGTGAAGAGATTCGCTCTCCAGGGATAGCTGATCGGTACTTTGATATTCTCTTGCTCTATTACGATTTTCATTAATCGATAATGATTCATTGGTATTAGTTTCGCTGAGAGACTGTGAATTTGATGGAGTTGACTCAATATTTGATGACAAACGAGATGCAGTTTGAGCGACATTCACTTCAGGATTATTTAAATTGATTGAAATCGAAGGATCTCTAGAATTTGCTAAATTCGACGATGGAGAGTCTAATTCATTGTTGGACAAGTTGTCAGTCGAAATATCAGGAAAATCGAGTGATTCGTCCTCAGTTTGAGTAGTCAAATTAGCACCATTCGTCAAGCTTGAGTCAAAATTATCAAAGTTTTTATTTTCGATTGATTCTGCTAATTCGTTATTTTTATTGCTCAATTCTTCCTCTTCAAATCTAGAAGCAAGAGCGTTTATATCAGCAGCACTATCATTCACAATTTCTTGGAGTTTTTCAGAGACGACATTCCACCATTGAACAGCCCGAAGTTTCTCTTCAGCTGTCATACCAGGAACTAAGGCAACAGCATCGTCAATCTGAAAATTGGAAAAACAAAAAAATCAATTAATTTCATTGTTGAGGACTGATCAAAGTTTGAAATAAACATCAGGACTATATTATCATACAGCCCCCAAATAGGATAATTTAAATTTTAATCAAATTTTCATCATGTAGAGAAATAAAAATCATCAATTTTAAAATTAAAGTTGAAAAAGCTTTTCTGGTAAATCAAAAGTAAATGACTCACTATAGATTTTAGGTTAGACGATAACTTACCTTAGTTTTAAAGCTGAAGAGACGTGAGCCAAGGCGTAAATCATCCATTTGACCATCCATCCATTAGATCAAAACAGAAGACAAAAGAGATTCACTTTTCATAATACCTAGATTAAGTATTGATTTATAAATTAGAGTAAATGTGAAAGACAAAATGTGTCAAATTAAATAAAAAGTTATATCAAAACAAAAAGGATCATATAGGCATCAAAAAATCTGAAAACCAAAAGCAGATTTAGTGCAAGTGGAATAGTAGTAAAGCGACAGATTTTGATCAATCTCAAGATTGATTGTAAACCTTTGGAAAAAGGAAGCGAAAAAGGAATAAAGAAAATTTCCTTCAGAGTCCGAAGTTGTAACTTTGATGAATAGCAGAGGCATAAAAAATGAGTGCATTAGTGTTGTAAAAATATTTCTCCGAACGACAGTTTTCTAGCAAATTGAGGGCAAAGTTAAAACTTCGATCGCCTAAAGTACAATTTTGAGACTAGACTTTTTCATTAAACTTCATTAACTGATGTAACTTTAACCAGAAAATGAAAAAAGAGAAACAATGAAAGGGTTATTTGGGCAAGCAGGAGAGGGAGAGAAAGAGATGTAAAGAGAAAGGAGAAAAAAATAGAAGCAAAACATGTTTTATCAAAACTTACGTCTCATCATTATTGGACTTCTTTCAATGGCCAATTTAGGACTTATTTTAAAAGGGTTTGATGATTAAAACTACGTTAATAATTGATAATCGTTAAATATGAGTGCAATAATAACATTGTTCACTGAAAATACATGAATCCGTTTCCAAGGAAATGGCATTCAGTTGTTTACTCTTTAGCGCGCTAAACACAAATTTTTATTTATAACAAAAAATAACTTCCAACAAACAAAAAGCTTTGATCCCACAATGAATTGTGTGGTTGTGTCCTTTTAAAAATCTAAAATGCGAGCCAATAATAAACTATTCAATTCAATCTTTTATTTGTCATTTTTAAAAATTATTTTATATAAATATTAATAAATTCAGTCATTACATAATAATGAACACTCAAACTTTTGACTTTTCCCAGAGAAAAATCAGTATAAAATTTGATTTTCGTAATACAATGTATAGTTACAATAAATTAAGAAAGTTAATGATTTTACATTTTGATAGGAAAATAGGAAATATTTA